GGCTTTGAATCAAATACATTATACAAACTGAAAGAGAAAGAGAGAGAGAGAGAGAGAGAGAGAGAAAGAAAAGAGAGAGAGAGAGAGAGAGAGAGAGAGAATCAGACAATGATAACGATCGTAGTCATTCTATTAATCATCACCTCAGAAGAGTAAATGAGTGAACGAATGTAGTATTATTGTATACGAATTATAGATAAACATAAACACAAACAACCATATAGATATATAGGCTCCAACAGACATACACAAACTCACACACACACACACACAGACACACACGGACAGACACACACAGACAGACTCACACATACACACACACAGACAAATTCGCACACAGACAGACATATATCTTAAATCATAATGTGCCACACCTTGACAGACAGACACACACAGACTCTCTTTCTCTCTCTCACACACACACACACACACAACACACACAGACTCACACACACAGAGAGAGACTCACACACACAGAGAGAGACTCACACACACAGAGAGAGACTCACACACAGACAGACAGACAGACAAACACGAGCACGAATACTAACGTGATACAACTGAGCCAAAGGATTGGAAGTATGTATTAGGAAGTTTTGGTTGACGCCAGGGTGGTCAAGATCGTGGCAGGCAGCCGACAGGATGGAGGCCATCTTCTCTTCGTCATCCAAGAAGCTCATCAGCTGTTCATCATCATCATGATCATCATCATCAACATCATCAGTATCGTTATCATCACCATCATCACCAATCTCTTCGTCAAAAAACATAAACAGCATCATCATCACCATCTTCATCAACACCCACACCACCACCATCATCATCATCATCATCATCAGCAGCAGCACCTTATTCTCTCGGATGTTGTAGTGCATAGCTTGCACGACGTCGGCGGCGTGCGTGGAGTTGTGGTAAGGATTTGTCACGTGATATCCTTCCTCCACTAATTCTGATGAATGAATGAATGAATGAATGAATGAATGAATGAATGAATGAATGAATGAATGAATGAATGAAGGAATGAATGAATGGATGAATGAATAAATGAATGAATGAATGAAGTCCACAAAGGAATGAATGAATGAATGAACTATAAAAATAAACTAACTGATGAAGCGAATTAATTTCATGAAATCAACTTTCAACTTTCCATAGAAACCATAACGTAGAAACAACTTCTGCACTACGAAGTACAGACTGTGTCCTGAATGCATGAACGAATGAATGAATGAACGATTGAATGAATGAACGAATGAATGAATGAACGAATGAATGAATGAACGAATGAATGAATGAATGATTGATTGATTGATTGATTGATTGATTGAACAAACGAATGAATGAATGCAATTAATATATAAATAAGCGATTGTTTCCTGATTTGATTAATACACGAATGGATGTGAAAGTTTGAGTGAGTGAATGAATGAATAAGTAATGAATGAATGAGTGAGCAAATAAATGAGCAAATGAGTAAAAAAAAGAATTAATGAAGGAGAAATTAATAAAGAAATGTACTAAATCAATGTACGGAACAATGACGGATCGATGTTGGGAGATTGAACAATGGAGATTGTATGGAAGAACAATAAAAGATGGACAGAATGAATGAATGAATGAATGAATGAATGAATAAATGAATGAATGAATAAATGAATAAATGAATAAATGAATAAATGAATAAATGAATAAATGAATGAATGAATGAATGAATGAATGAATGAATGAATGAATGTATGAAAAAGGAATAAAACTACTTGAAACAACAACTAGAGTAATGAGATAACAATAATAACCGTCAGTCAATCGTTCTAGTAGAAATATGTTGAAAGACCACTTGTCTACAGATGATAACAGGACCTAATTTAATTAATTTAATTAATTTAATTTAATTACTAATTAACTGAATTAATTAGTCGATCAATCACACATTAGATTCTTAAATAATGTATCCCTACTTTTGCAATGGCGCTTTGGAAAATTGGATGGCGAAACAGTTCGATCATTCATCCATCCACTCATTCATCCATCGTACCATCCATCCATCCATTCATCCATCCACTCACTCATCCATCTTTCCATCCATCCATCCACTCCATTCATCCATCCATCCATAAATTTAACATGCCGTTGAAATAAAAAGACATTTATTACACGAAGTCCTTTCATCTGGCTCATCTAAAGGGAAGCACGTAAACACACACACACATAGATACACACACATACAGGTACACACACACACATACAAAAACGAATGATTAAGGTTAGATTGTTTTAGGAAATCATTAGAATCAATATAGTCTTCCTGGTACGTTCCAACGCCTTCATAATGTTTTCCCGAAGGATAAATGCAATCGCGCACACATACAAACATATACACCTACACTCACGCACAAACATAAATACAAACAAACGAACATACAAACACACAAACATACAAACATGCATACAAACAAACAAACGTACAAACATGCATACAAACATACAAATACGCACGCGTACTAACACAAGAACTTACTAACACTTTACTAATACAAACAAGCAGATACAAACGTACCAAAAATACAACAATACATGTACACAACCATACAATAATCACAATTGTCATCCTAGTAATCGTCCTCATCATCATCATTATCGTCCTCATCATCATCATCGTCACCATCATCGTCATCATCATCACCAAGTGACCTGAGCTTGTTGTGGATAGTTCAAATCCAGCAGACTTTTACCTTCTTGAGACAAGCCTTCTTTCGTCATATAAGACCTTCATGATGATGATGATGATGATGAGGATGGTGACGATGAAGATGATGATGATGATGATGATGGTGGTGATAATGTCAGCGATGATGACAACGGCGACGACAATGATGATGACGATGATAATAATGATAATAACAATTATGCTGATGAAGTAGAAGATGATGATGATGATGAAGGTGGTGATGATGACGATGACGATCGTAGTAATGATAATGATGATAATCTGACAGGTTACCTGATCGTCTTATTGGTGGTGAGGGTTTGATGTGAAAGACACCGTCTTAAATGGTACCTCCGTATGCTTCCTTCGTTTTTCTCTGCAATCAATTATTTTCATTCCATTCCTTCATTCCTTCATTCATTCATTCGTTCGTTCACTCACTCACTCACTCACTCACTCACTCACTCACTCATTTATTCACTCACTTATTCACTCATTCATTCACTCATTCATACCCTGATGAATGAGCATTAATATGTCGCTGGTGTTGATAGATATCCGGTGAGAGAGCAAACGCACATCCCTACCAGACTGCCCGTGGGGGTCCAGTGTACTCTTCTCCATCGTCACCATCGTAGTTCCGTAACTGCCTTGCGGTCTAGCTATAACGAGAGATCGCCGAAGTTGATTTTATAATTGGATCTTATAACTGAATTATTTTCATTTATCATTATTATTATTATCATCAAACTAATAACAATCATGTAAGACACACATCATCGTCGTCTTCGTCATCATCGTCATCTTCATAATCATCGTCGTCATGTTTGCTTAGTAAATGGCATCATTATAATTGTAATAATCTCATCGTCGCCATCATCATCATCGGCATTGATGTCATTATCATTAAAATAATCATAATCATTTTACCCTCGTAATCATTTTTTTCATCATCATCATCCTCATCATCATCAGCAGCAGCAGTAGTAGCATCATCATCATCAGCATCATCATCCAGGTATTAAATTATTCATGTGAGTGAATCATAGGCCTATGTAGGTTCGTTCACCTCCATCAAGTGCACATCCACATAATCAATCAATCATTTGGACGTTCATTCGTTTATTCACTCAATCAATCATCTATTCCTTCATTTGTTCGTTCATTCGTTCATTCGCTCGTTTGTTCATCTATCAATCTTCGATTAACTAATTAACTTGTACGGTTTTTCATTCATTCCCTCATTCATCAACTCACTCGTTCATTCATTCATGCATGCATGCATTCATTCATTCATTCATTCATCGTTCATTCATTCATTCTCTCAGAAGACTCACCAGATAAAAGCTTCTCCTTTTTCCCTTTCTTTCCAGCCTGCTTGATCGGCTTAAAATTTAAATTTTCTTCAAAAAAATAACAATAAAAACAAAAATAATAACAATAACAAATAATAATAACAATAATGAAATAATAAAGTATCGATAATAAGTAAATATTGATTTAAATTAAACCAACTATTCGAAATTTATGTCGCAATGAATAGGTTATCAAGACACATCAGCATCATCAATATTTGTATTTGAAAACAAACTAATCAATCAATTAATTAATCAATAATAAATTCAACAACCTACCTATCAATTAAATCAGTCAATTAATTAATTAATTAATCAATTAATCAACCAATTAATCAATCAAGTAATCAGTAAAAGCACATATGTTACAATGTGATGACACCGTGTATTGAATATTTGGAAAATTTTAGCTTGAAACACACCTTACATATTTGAACACTGGCACATAAATACCTTTATAAATGTATGTGCGTGTGTGTGTGCATGTGTGTCTGTGTGTGATATACACGTAAAAACACAGAGTAAAATACCAACATAGAAAACCATAGAAAACACACACACACACACACACATACATACATATATACATGCATACAGACAGACTGACAAACAGACATATAAGGATATGTGACAACATAATATTAATGTATGTATATGTGTGCACGTGGGTATATATGTATGTGTGTGTATGAATGTATGTATGTTTGTTTTATGTATGTATGTTTGTATGCACATATGCATGTGTCTATGTATCCCCATATATAAATGTAATGGTGAAGACGATGACGGCTTAACAATGGAATAATAATATGAATA